CATAGGGAGGAAGGGGACAATATTCGGAGTCAACGTACTGATAACAGCAGGTTCAAGCCGCTGGGTCTCCTTCATCACACTCTCCATTAACGTGAGTTTGCGTAATGAGTGGCTGTGCAAGCCATTTTTCCCAACTACCGAAACCACCTCCTCGCGCAAGGGCTGAATGAGCTCTGGGTGCTTGCAAAGTCGTGCTATCACCTTTTCGACCAAATCACTCGTAGTCTGGAAAGCAACGGCAATGATTCGCAGCTGCGCCATGGTAGCATCATAGCGAGCTCCCTTGGCATACTGGTCGATGAACGCCAAGTTCGAGAATTCCCGCTTCGTTGGCTGATCACTACGATACGAGCGCCGTTCACGCTCGAGGACCGGAAGGAGGATATTACGGGCGCATTGGATTTGACGGCGAAGAGCCCGACAGGGGGATAGAAACCAATGAATCACAGGTTGAAGAAAGCTTGGCCAGGACTGGACGGCGGCGACGGCAATAGCTCGATTCGTTGTGAAGGATTTAGCAATATCAAGCCATTCGGGGTTGCGGCAGAGCGCAGGGCCCAGCAGTGCTCTTGTTGTCATTTGGGCAATCAAGGCCAGTACTGTTTCCGGGATAGAGACGTCATGCCACTCTGTCTTTTATCAGATTATTGTCCAACTGGCCTGCTGGGAACGCACGTACCAGCCGAGTCCGTCCACCTGGTTTGCAGGCAGTTCATAGCTTCCTCGGAAAGGAAGGGTGTCAAGTGTACTACATCCCGGGCTCAGTAATAATTCTCAGAGGAGAAGAGACTGGAAACTGACCAAGCTCCTTGTTTAACGCACGAACTGCCATGGGAGGCACTTGATTATGCAGCGATCCTTGGAACATGGTCTCTAAACCAGGCAGGTCCACAAGTAATACCTAGACGGATGAGAACCAGATCGTTCTGCGAGGAATCTGCTCGATGAAGAGGGCGACATACAGGATCAACTGCTTCATGAGCGCCAAACCGACTATCATTCTTAATTTCCTCCGCATACTGGTCTTTCAGGATCAAATAGGTGACCATGTTGGTCACCAGCCGGAACGCCGAGCGGCCCTACATAAAGCGTGTTAATCCCTGTTGGCGAAGATAAGGAAGCCACACCGGATCTCTGAGCTCACTGTTTGAAGGCCCTCGTTGAGTAGAGCAGCTGCATTATATTCAAACTCTTGCTTGGCCTTTGTCTGAAAAAAGTCCCATGGGTGTTGGTTGATGCTGATGAAGTGGCCTGTGTCCAAGGGAAACAACAATATGATTCCCAGGATGACGAGCAAGCTTGCGCCGACTACCCCGGGGTAGGGAAGCTGAATCGCATCGAAGGTTTCCATTGTCACGAATTGCTTTTGTGGGACATTCGGAGTGCCTGCCAATAGATTTATAACCGCTGAAGTCCAGCCAGGGGTTGGTCAGGCGGAGGCCAGTGGTCCAGGATTAACAGGCGCATGCATAGTGTCGCGCAACTGCTTGACCGTAAGACTGGGGGGGGAGAATGTTTTCTGACCTGGAATTCACCTTTGCTTTTTCATGACGACGACAAATATTGGGAAGCCCTCACAAGGCAGGTCTGTGCGGGTCTTGTCCAATTTTTCAGTAATGACTAGTTGTTGATTATTATTTGCCCAATGTGGCGTAGCATCCTAGACGCATTAACAGGATCAGATTTGCCAAGTCAGCACAATCATAATGTCATACCAAAAGCATCAATCAAAGTCTCATTGGACCAGACGTAATTCAAATACTTTGAAGAAAGGATTTTCAGGTGCAGGCATCATCTACCATGCATGCATGGGATAAGTGGGCCACAAACAAGTCTTGCACAGTAGCAGCCCTGCAACACTGCTGGCTGATGCCACCCAAGATCTCAGCTGCGCAAGGGACTGTTGCCACCAGGTTAGCAACGCCGTCGTGTGTTCCGGTGACAGTATTCAAAGGCGCATGACTGTACATACTCGCAGATCAAATTGGAATCCATACTTAAAGAATTGAAAGCACGCCTCGTCCTGCAGCCAGCAGCGAGAGTTGTGGCTCCCTAGACAGTCCGGGTTTTCTACAATTTTCGATTTTTTATCTCACTCGAGCATCCGCATCCCTCTCCCACAATGACCATAGCAACTGAGATTTCGTGCCCTGAAGAAGAGGCATTCCAGCTCCTCGACAAGTACTCGTGGTTTCCCAACGACGACCAGCGACGTTGGTGGGAATATACTGGGCCCAATTTGCTCAAGCTTCTGCGTGATGCTCAGTATCCGCAGAAGGACCAGATTTCCTGCCTCTATCTCCTGCAGCAACTTCTGGTTCCATACCTCGGCACCTTCCCAGTCGCTGGACAAGCACCTCTGCCTTGGTGGAGCAATGTGACCACCTATGGCGTTCCTTTCGAGCTCAGCTGGAATCTCCTACATAATATCGTGCGGATTGGCTTCGAACCACTCTCACACTTGGCAGAATCCGGCGTCGATGCTTTCAACAAGATAGCGCCAGAGGAATGCCTATCCCGCCTTGCGTGTCTAGACAACACCATCGATCTAGCCCGGTTCAGGCACTTCCAACATCAACTTTTGGTGACTCCCGATGAAGAAAGACGGTTGCTTGAGGAGAAAGGCCCCCTCCCCAAGTCCGGACGAGGCCAGCAAGCCCTGGCAGTGGAATTCCAGAACGGTGGCATCAGCGCCAAAGCCTACTTCTTCCCAGGCATGAAGTCGCTGGCGACTGGACTCTCGCCAGGAAAGCTCATTCTTGACTCCATCGAGAGCCTCGCTCTCCCGGGATTGAAGGAACCCGTGCATCACCTCTGCAACTCCCTCGGCCTGCAAGACGACGGGCACCCAACAGATACCGCGATTGCCCCGTTCCTTCTCGGTGTCGACCTGTGCACCCCCGAGCGAAGTCGCCTGAAATTCTACGTCACCGACCAGGTGGTTTCATGGGATCGGGTAGCGGACATGTGGACTCTTCGCGGGAAACGTCTGGAAGATCCTCAATGTGCCGATGGTCTGACCCTCCTGAGGAAACTGTGGGATCTCCTCGAGATCCCTGAAGGGTATCGGAGCAACATCCGGCCGGACTTTGCTTTTGGGACGCCTCCTCCCGAGGACTACCGACCCGTCATGATGGCGAACTGGACCCTATCTCCCAAGAAAAAATTTCCGGACCCCCAGATATACCTCCTTACCGTTGGAATGAATGACGCGGTCGTAATGGACGCACTCGTGGCGTTCTACGAGGTTCTGGGTTGGACGGATCTGGCCAGCACATACAAGGATAAAGTGGCCTCATACTAGTAAGTTGACCCTGTGGTGGGTGCATCCGGCAAACGGGCTGGAGTACAGTTAACATCGCTGACAGTCCCGGCCTTGACTTTACGAAAACCAATTACATACACTCAGGGGTTTCTTACTCGTATCGCCATTCGAAGCCCTACCTGAGTGTTTATTACTCGCCTTTTTGAGAGAGTGCGGAAAGTGCTCTTGGGGGCACGACTAGAGCATCGAGAGGCGAAAGCAAAGACTGGAATATCCTGATGTTAGAAAGCATTTATCATTATTTCCCTTAGAATGATAAGTCTCGAATGATATCATAAGCCATCCAGTTAATGATTTTTATTTTTAAACTATCCTTAGTCATGTTTAGATTATTGTATTACTTAATACCTCTTATATCTGTTTAGTATTTTGCTACACCACCTGGTTGGTAGTCCTCAGCTAGAGTTGCATTCAGTCTGAGTTCAGGTAAGTTTAAAACCAGTTGGCACTGAACTGCTGCGATTTCAAGTCTAACTTTTAGAAGTTTGAACCAAATCTGATCTGTTCTGATTTGGTTTGAGTTTAACCGCAAAAACCTGCAACTAGGCCTAGTTAGGCCCCTACTAACTAACCATAGTTAGATTTGTATTGGTTTTGGGTTGGTTAAACTACTACCCCTTAGTGAATTTTAACTGTTTTAAATTTTAAAGGATTATTAACTACCATACTATCACTATACCTTTTAAAAAATACTTATTCTTATTTGAAATATATAATCATTATCATTATACTAATCTATATCTAAAATTTTAATTCAATATCTACAGGGCTGAATGGGTGGTTGTAAAAAGATCATTTCTAAACTATGAGGGTGTCAACCATCAGTTACACATATATACATCTCCACTATTTTCATACCAACCTATGACAAAAATGATTATACCATTATATCTCACCAACCACTAGATATTTTGGATTGATATTTCATATTTAGATAGACTAAATACTAGGCTATCTAGTGATATTAATATTTTCAGAGAAACCATAGAGATTAGTGATTACTAAGTAAAATGGTTAGGGTTAGTTAACCTAGGGTCCTAGGCAGATAAAACCTTAAAAACCTTAATGAATGGTTTTAACTGAACTCAAATTAGTTTTACTCTAGGGAAACTGAAACTGGTGTGATTCCCTAGGCTAGGGACCAAACCTGAACCACTTTGAGTTTGGTGAGGGTCAGATTTGATTGTAGCAGTTTGGTTATGCAACTCTAATCTAGTGCTACTGAGATATAAGTATCGCGGGCTAGAATATCTTAGTCTGAGGCTTTACTCTAGGCGTCCCAATAGGCCATAAGGTGTGAAGTGGAATTACTAAAGAAGGAAGGAAACTAGGTATAGGTAGAGGTCATGTCTAAACTAGATATAAGGTCTGGGTCATATGACGTCTATACTAACTAATATAGTAATCACACTATATGACTGTAGCTACATATACCATGCAGTACATGTCAGGAAGTAGCACTAGCCGATGATAGGAATAAGCTTACAACATTATAAATAGCCAAGCTGGTAAAGTGTAGTAAGTATTCTATGATTTCTATCACTAACATACACAAGAACATGCAGTTATTAGGTAATAAAAGTGGTGACTATATGTCATAATCTTAACCATGCAGTCCTGGCACTTCTGGTGGTAATTTACCAGGCCCTCAACTTGATAGAATGCACTAATAATCTCATGGAGGCGCGTCACCAATGGTTGGCCTGTCTGTTGCTGCTAATGCCTCTTGTAGCATCTGCTCAATTGTTTCTAGAGCCCCAACTTCTGCCAAATCAAGCGGCCTGCATGCATCGAAGGAATTAATACTAGGATCAACACCAGCATCTAATAGAGACTGGACGGTGTTTTCATGTTCGTTATTAACCGCCCAATGCAGAGCCGTCCAGCCATCACAATCCTGGAGATTCCTTATTTCACTGTTTCCCAAGAGAACTTTGGCAATTTCATCCTCGCCCTCCTGGGCAGCAAGATGCAATGCTGTTTTCCCCCTGTTATCCCGGGCAGAGATATCAGCCTCTGTATTGAGAAGAAGTTTGAGAACTTTAATTTGACTCCCCAGAACGGCCCTGTGCAACGCTGTATATCCGCTTATATCTTTGAAAGACAGATCAATGCCATTTATGATGAGAAATTGAACCATCAATTCGTGCCCAGCTTCTGCAGCCTCTAAAAAGGCTTCCTTGACGGTCTCGTCAAGGGTGGTACCAAAATCAAGAAGCATTTTTGCGATCGTCACATGTCCATGGAGTGCTGCATAGTAAAGCGGAGTCCGACCATCGATATCTCTGCTGTCTGATCTGACTTTGATACTCAGCAATATTCTTACTATTTCCTCATGTCCTTCGCCAGCTGCATAATGCAGAGCTGTGCGAAGTTTATTGTCGGTGAGATGTGGATTGCTGTCCCGTTGGATAAGCAATTGGACGACAGCTTCATGCCCTTTCTGAGCGGCCAAGTGCAGCGCTGATTCCCCATGTTCATTTTGAATCTGGTCGAGGGCCCCGGCTTTCAATAAAGCTGTCATTATACCGACATGACCCTCGTTAGCTGCCCAATGTAGCGGAGTCCACCCTGTATGGCTGCGAGCATGGGTATCAGCTTTGTGATTCAGCAAAGTAGGGACTATCTCTTCATGTCCTTTTGCTGCCCAGTGTAAGGGGGTCTGGTTCTTGTCATTTGCGCTATCGACATGCGCTCCAGCTTCTATCAGCATTTCAGCGATAGTTGCTTTCCCTGAAAGGACAGCGAAGTGTAGTGGCGTGTTCCCATCCTCATCTGGAAATGAAGGACTGCTTCCGGCACCTAGAAGCAGCCGCACGGTTGCAACCTGGCCGGCGCCACTGGCTTGGAGAAGAGGAGTTTTTCCATCTAAACTTTGAGCAGACACATTTGCCCCGGATTCTAGAAGAAGCTGGACAACGTCAACGAAACCCATTAAAGATGCCTGGTGCAATGGCGTAGCATTTTCGTGACCTTGCAGAGAAGGATCTGCTCCCTTATTCAGAAGCTCCTGTACGATAGCAAAATAACCGTTGCCAGCAGCGAGGTGCAGTGGTGAGTCGCCTATTTCATCTTGAATGACGACGGTTGCCCCAGCACAAAGCAGCGCCCGAACTATCTCAAGATGCCCTTCTGAAACAGCTAAATGAAGAGGCGTATGACCATGGGCATCCTTGACATCAATGGGAGCTCCGTGGCTTAGTAACATCTCTGCAATCTTGCTATACCCCTTGATAGCAGCCGCATGTAGAGTCGTTCTTTGAGACTGGCCAATCCTGACATCCGTAATGGTAGCTCCTTTATTCAAAAGAACCTCCACAACGCTATCATATCCTGTTATAATGGCATAATCCAGTGGAGTAAGTCCGCTCTTATGCCGTGCATTGATATCAGCTCCCACATCAATGAGTAAAGACACCACGTTGCAGTGACCGAAAGCAGCGGCCCAGTGCAATGGCGTGTATCCCTCATCATCCGCGGCGCAGGGGTCGGCTCCTCCCTCCAGGTAATGCTGGACAATGCTTACATGTCCACATGTAACTGCAGAAAACAATATCGTTCGCCCATGTTCGCGGAGACTAGATGAGTACGCTGAGACGGCGAGCTGGGCGAACCCTTCCGCGGCTTGCGCGAGAGCCACGACATCCGAGGGTTCCAAATACTGAAACAGTTCCAGAATAATCTCTGGGGGAAGTGGCAGTCCCCACCAGCGGCCCATGTTGAGTGCTGTCTCCAGTGAGAGTAGGAATAAGGAGAAGTTGAGTCCAAGTGGCCAGTGGCCCTCCCCTATCCTGGCGGAATACGAGAATTAGACCCATCACGTGCGGAAGAGGCACTGTGTGCCATAAGGGGACACAGTTCGGGTAGAGAACCGTAGGTATTTTTCCTAAACATATTATCATTCAAAGTAGCTTGAATCCAATGTTGAAGAGCAATGGTAGGTCTGATGAATAGTTATAACTGTATGCCTACTTTGATTCTTTGCATGTCACCTGACTCCTTTCGCGGCAGGTTTGGTTCTATTTCTAAAATTTAGAGTCAAAATTACAGCGTCTGGTTCCAACCTGGGTTGGACTGGCCTGAACTTGGGCTGAATGTAACTAGACTGAAGCTGTGCCCATATCATTGGACTAGCTTTCTCCTTTCTCCATGTTGGAGTACTACAGTAAACCCCCGCTATAAGCATCGCTGATATAAGAATAACCTCGGTTATAGCATCTTGCCACCGTGTCTGAATTAAATTCTCATAATAAAAATGCTTAATACTCCGATATACAGATATTGCTTCCAAAAATCATTTCTCCCATATAAAATTGCTTATATTGGATCATTTTTCTAAGTTCTTAGAATGTTAAAGCGCACACGTACAGCAATTCCAAATAGCCAGAAGGCTGCTCTCCATGCCCAGCATCATCTCAAGCCTTACCTCTCGCATAGCCAGCTTCAGAAATGGTATGAAGAGGCTTATAAGCAGAAGATTAACCTCTGCTCTATCTCACGGATCTTATCAAAAGATTATGCCTTCCTTAATACAATCGAAAACCATCATCTTATCAATAAACGACGTCGAACAGAGCAGTGGCCAGAGCTAGAAGAGGCTCTTTTTGAGTGGATTCAACGAGCAGAGGTGAAGATTACAATATCACAAGAGATTATCCGGGAGAAGGCAAAGCAATTCTGGCCATCTATCTATCCAGAGAAGGAGATGCCTCAGTTTAGCAATGGCTGGATACAGAACTTCCAATCACGCCATGATCTCAGGAGACGTGCTAAGCATGGTGAAGCTGGAAGCATATCAGAAGATGCTAGCACAGAGATGATTGGAATTCGCAAAGCTTTAAGCCTATTTGCTCCCCAAGATATCTTTAATTGTGATGAATCTGCTCTCTATTGGAAGATGCCTCCAGATCAAGGTCTATTGTCATGTAATCTTCCTGGTTAGAAGAAGGAGAAAGCACGGATTACTGCTCACTTTTGCTGTAACTCTGATGCTTCTGAATGTCTTCTAATATGGATTATTGGATCTGCTAAGAGGCCACGAGCCTTCTCTGCTGCAGGCATTAATCCAGAGAATCTAGGGATTATCTGGTGTTTAAATAAGAAGGCATGGATGACAGGAGCAATCTTTAAGGAATGGCTCTCCTGGTTTGATTCAAAGATGAAAGGTCGGAAAGTTGCTCTTCTAATGGATAATTTCTCTGCACATGAAGCTGCAGTTGAAGATATCCAAGTCCAACTTCAAAATATGATTATCATATGGCTTCCTGCCAATTCAACCTCTCGATATCAACCTCTTGATCAAGGGATTATCCGCACATGGAAAGCATACTGGAAACGGCAGTGGATTCTCTATATGATGACTCAATTTGACCATGGTTTGGATCCGGTATCAACAATCACAATTCTCCAAGCTCTTCGATGGATGGTTCCTGCATGGGAGCTTGATCTAAAAGATACCACAATTCAACGATGTTTCCAAAAGGCTCTTCATATTGAGGAGGTAGCAGGGATTGAGGAGTATGAGGTTATCAAGTAGATTGAGCAAGGCATTCAGAAGATGCAGCTTTCAAATCATATCAAAGAGGCAATGGATATCAACCAGTTTATAAGTCCTGCGGATGAGGAGGTAAACGATAATCTCCTAGATCTTGATGAAATGATTCTTGGTCAGTATACCGTGGATCAACAAGATGAGGAGGATGATGATACTATAGAGCCTCTCCCTCAGATTTCACCTGCGGATGCCTTAGAAAGCCTTTATAGGCTACGCCTCTATGAGGAGCAGCAGGTTGATGCAGATAAGGCTCTTATAAAGAGTTTTATGCAATATGAAAGGGTGATTCTGAAGAGAAAGATTGAAAGCCTGCGCCAGGGCGATATCCGACAGTTTTTTGGGTAGAGAATATTTCCAGTTAGTGTTGCTAAAGAATCCAGTATAAGAATATTTCGATATAAGGAAGTAAAAAGGTGCTGCTGAATTAGATGCTTATATCGGGGGTTTACTGTATTTCAAAATTCTGTAGTGCAGCCTGTCACATCCACCTTATGCAGTGGTGTTGGTAACATAAGTAATCAATAAGGCTCATTATAGCAAGGAGTCTTGTTGTTTACATAGATAATAATCAAGAAAACCTGCGTGATTGGTTATATTAAGGATCTCTGTATATCAAGGCTTGTGGTAATAGGATTTATTATACCAGCAATAAAAATTAGGGTTCTTAATACAACATCAAAATATTAACTACCGCTCGACCATAGAAATTTTTGAATTATATGACTGCTTGCCCAATTTGGAAGTGATGTGATTTCGCTGAGCTGTTTCTCCAAGCCATTTCTTCGCTCATTCTTCGCTCAATAATCAGTAAATATTCACTCTAATTTACAGCGTCAAATCAAAGGCATAAATAGGAGCTAGATAGTCATTTATTTAGAAGAATCAGACCTTTATTAATTTTTGATTGGCCATAGAAATTACTAGTGCTATGTAAATTATTATAGTATTATTATTTTTAATAGTTATAAGCCTAGCCTGCCCTTAAGAGATGCATGGATTAATAGCTGCTATTATTCTTCTAAGGCCTACAGATTAGAGAAGCTATCTTAAAGCATTAATAAGATATCTCATTAGAATTAACTTACCTAATTTAGAAGAACTAAAGATATATTAACACCGCTATCAACCCTGAAAGCTAATATAGACTATTATACTAAACTAATTAGATTTACTATAAAGATATCATTCATGCTAGAGAAGCCTAATAATTAGTAGATATAGGACTCCTATATAATTAGCCTAGCTTAAACCCATAGAGTGCTTAATATACTCCAGGGAGAGAGACCTTACCCTATTCTACTAATTTAACTAATCTATCTAATAATTCTAGCTAATTAGCAGGCTAGATCAGCCCCTATAGAACCCTAGCTAGCCTCAGAGAGGCCCTAAATAACTAAAGTAAGCTAATTAGATAGCTTATTAGCTACTATAGCCACCCTAAAGGCTCTAGCAAAGCCTACTAAAACTAAATTAGTAATATATACTAAAGAATTAGTGATCTATAAGAAAGATAGAGAGTAATATTAACTAGATTATTAAGGTCTTATAACTATCTAGACTACTATAGAGTAAATAATAGTTAGAGAGCATCTCTAGTAGCTAATAAGCTAATTAGATAATAAGGTTAAATAATATTAAAAGCTTAAGGCTAATCTAAAGCCTTTAATTAAAATAAGAATAAACTAAATTAAGGAGAAATATTAGAAGCTTATTACTAAGTTAGCTAATTAGAATATATTAAGCTAGCTAAGTAAATAAGAGAAGGTATTAAGTATATATACTAAGCTAAATATAATATAATATACTAGCTATATAGGCACCAGGACCTTCCTTATAGTATTAAAGAAGATTAAATCTTAATATACTAGTATTTAATTAGATTATTTACTAGAGGATAGCAAGCTAAGTATCTTTAATAAGATCTCCTATTATTAAAAATACTAGGAAAGCCTTAGTTAGGAAGAATAAAAAAATATCTTTACTATATTTAAGGGATAATCCCCTAATTATCACGTTCGCTCAGGCAAAATCAACAGATATGGTAGCATTCGGAAGAAATACTAAGTCTAGAGAAGAGGAAGAAAAAGTATGTACACAGAGTAGAAAGATATCGCGGAGCGATAGTGCAAACAGGTCAAACATCCAGAAGTGGCAAGCGGTCAGCTGAGGCAGAAAGCTCAGAGGTAAGCAAGGTGATGAAGGATGCTTATGAGAGATGGTGACAGGCCATCACACTAATTAATTAAATTCTAACTTAGCTAATTAGAATTATAAATCCAAGTAGCTTAAGTAAGATAACTACCCTTATAGAGAGAAGCATCTTTTTAATAAGTATCTATATATGATTAAATTATTAAGGCTAAAGGAATGGAAGCTAAATCTAGCTATTATAAAATAATTTAAGAAGATTAAGCAGAACCTAAAAGTAAAGTATATAATAGATAAAGTAATTAAGTAAGCTAATTAGAATTAAAATTAGAAGTAGGAAGTATCTTATATAGTAATAAGTATTATTAGAATTAATTTAGCAGTATTCTTAATAAAAAGGAACTTATATAAGCTATAAGATAGCTAGATTATTAATTTAGGAGTAGATATTAATATCTATAATAAGTAAACTTAATTTCTTACTTATAAGCTAGTAGAGGAAGAGTACATATATTTTAGTATAATAGAAGTAAAAATCTATAGATATAGAAAGGTTAAACTATAAGTAACTAGAATAAATTAGAAGTTATATATCTTAGAAGTTAATTAAGTAGCTTATATACCTAATTACCATATAAATCTGCTCTTAACCTTTCAGATGAAAAAGTATGGATATTATTATAATTAATACCTTAATATTATTAAGGATTAGAATAGAAAACTAATCTGCTATATAGAATTAAGATATAATATAGAGGTCATAGAATATAACCTAATATTAAATATCTTTGCTATGAACTAATACTTAGAGAGGCCCTATAAATTAGTTATAACTAGTAAATAATGGCATTAATAGCTTGCATACCTGGGAGATGAGGCTATATAGAACCTAGAAGAGGCCTTAATAGATGCTAAAGTATTAAGCTATAAGAGATTAATTTATAAAATATATAGGCTAGTAAAGGCTGCTAAGTAGATATCTTAGACCCCTAGAGAGAGGTCTATAGAGCTGTTTAAAAGTATTTATTTTAATTTAATTCCACTATCTATTACCTATAATAGAGATTATTAGGTGATGTATTTTATTTATAAATTAACTAGATAGCATATAATCTATATATATCTAGATAAAGATTAGCTTAATAGCTTAATAAAGTAATTTATTAAATAAGTTAAAATATAATTTAGCATTAAGTTAAAGAGGATATTCTTAGACCATAAGCTAATACTTAGAAATAAATATATATGTACTATGAAATCTAAGGGCACTAAGATCTATTATTTAACTTAATATATTAATAAGTAGAAGGGGCTGATTAAATATTCTAGCAGGATAATTATTAAAATAGCCTATAGTATATAAATTAGTGCATAATTACTAGAGAAGCTATAGCTATCTATATTATATACTACTATTTATCTATAGAATTAACACCCATACAGAGAGGCAGTGGAGGAGAATAGTTAAATAAAATAGATATAGATCATACTATATAAGAAGCTCTATAGCAAGAAGCTATTATTAGTGAATCTATGCATCTATAGATGTAGAATATATATTAGACACCATAAGATTCTAAGATTAAAGAAGCTAGATCTATATGCCTAGGTAGCTATCTAGTTAGCTACACAGCATCTAATATATAAAAGATATAGAATCTAGTAACTAGAATAATCACTAATAAGAGAGATATAATATTTAATAAAGATATCTTATTTAATCTAGATTAGCTGTTCTACACTGAAGTAATTAAAATATTAGATCTGCCTGAATTACCTATTAAAATTAATAAGCTACTAGATATTAATAATTTACCTAGCTTAGTAGGAAGTACAGATGATAAGTTAGATAAGGTTAAAGCTTAGGGGGTGAATATAGTAATTAATAAAGCAAGTAAGGCCATAAGTAAGGCTATAAGTAATAGTACTATATCTAAAGAGGCAGGCAGTAAGGCCACAGCAGAAACCCTAGAATATTAACTTATACCTCTAACCCCTAAGGCTATGCCTATCCAGAATAATCATCCTTTAATTAAGCAAGATATTAATACTACACCACACCTAGTATAGATAAACACTTAGCATAGAATCCCTAGAGACTAGATTAATAGCCCACAGAGAGATGAGCCTATTTAACTAGATTTAATGACCCTAAGATCACTAATAAGAATCAATGATTTACTAGAGCTAGAGACACCTATAAGGCTTATAGATACACTGCCTAAGTCCCTAGATTAATTATAACTAGAAGATTTACCTTTAAAATAGCTATTTAAGGAGGTTAATTAATTAAGGATTAAGCTAAATAATTAAGATAAGCTAGATAATACTAATAATATCCTATAGAGGCTAAAACATAGTATAAATACTAATCTTTCACTAGATAATATTATTAAAGGAAAATAAGAATATTAAATTCTAAAGGCCTATAATTTTACTACTACTTAGATAAATAGCTTGCAATAATTTCACTTAGTATTTATATTATTTAGAATAGGCCTAAAAGATAAGGCATTAAAGAAGTAACTTTATTAAGATAAAATACTACCTATACCTAATAGCTAGAAGAAGATGCAGAAGTACTTATTAAAAGAACTCTTTAAAGCAGCTATATAGTTAGAATATAATATATTATTAGCTTAAGGAACTTTTCAGAAGGTTAGAATACCTAGAGATAAGCAGATTATTCTACTATAATAGGTTTTTATATATAAATTTAATTAAGAAGGCTATTTAATTAAGGCTAAGGCATAAATCTATATATAAGGAGATATATAATAGATAATATATAATAATACTATAGCTGCTACTCTTACTGCATAAATATTCTAAATATTAATAGTTATTATACTAGTATTTAATCTTAATATATAATAAATTAATACTATTAATACCTTTATTAATAGTAAACTAAATAAGGAGGTCTATACTAGAATAGTTAAAGAATTCTCTAAATATAGCTATATTTACCTATTAAAGTAAGCTCTCTATAGCCTATATAGGGTACTGCACCTCTAGTAGAGAGATATTTCAAAAGTACTTAAAGAGATAGGTTTATAAAGAATTAATACTAACTTATATCTTTATATAGATGATAAAATCATCATCTTAGTATTTATAGATAATATACTATTCCTTTATTATTATAAAAGTAAGAAGCATGCTAATAATCTAATTTAGAAACTATAAGAATAATA